GCGAGACCAGCGACGCCACAGCGGGGCTCCCCCGCTGCCGGAGCCCCTCCGCGGTTTTGCTCCGCGTCTTCCTGGTCTGCAGACCAGGGAGATGCGGAGCAGCTTTTCTCGCCCGGAGTACACGGGCGGCGGGACCGCGAGGTCCCGCAGTCCGTGTACTCCGGGGCAGCCCCGTTCGTAACTGCGGATCCGACATAAGTCGGATCCGCGTAAGTCGGGGACTGCCTGTATTACTAATTTGCCAACCCACCTAAAAATGTGGGTATGAAGAATAATTTTGTATTGGCTATTATCCCAACATCTTTTTATCAATATAAGACCGTTAAAAGTTCTCCCAGAAGTTGAAATATTTTTGAAGGCTAGTATAATAAATCATATAATTAAAAGTTAAGGAAAAGAAATTCAGAAAGACCTTCCTAGAAGAACCTAATGAAGCTTAAAAAAAAATTGGTGTGGGGGGGGAGGGGGGAAAAGAGAGAGAAAGATTATGGAATACTTAAGAACTCTCAAAATCAGCAGCATGTCTTTTTCATCGAAGAACATACTTATGTATGCACTTTGCATGAGGGGTTCTGTGTAGTACATGGCCCAAAACTGAACAAAACAGAAGTAACAGGTACCATTAAATGAGTAAGCAAGAACTATAGAAGTGGGGAAATTAATTTCTAAAAATCAGTCATGGAGAAACCCAAGATATATGTATTACACTATCTGTCTAACATGTTACTAGATAACATAATATACATTTTACTTTGCAAATATCAAGCCACAAATTAAATCTCTCTCTAAGAAAAAACAATATTAAGCTACCCAAGCTTAATGACCTGAAGCAGACAATGACAGAGGAATGATTATTTCAACCCCAATTTTTATGTGACTTCTTGGGGATATGCACTCCAGGAAGTGTTGGGTTCTCGCTCATATTTCCATATAAAGTGTCATTGGAAACAATCACATTACTTCCTAAAATAATTACATCAGGTATTGTTACACAACTTAGTGATCATGAATGCTACGTCAAAAAGTTCTGGTTTTTAGTTTGCATCTAATCGCATCGTGACCCTGTATAATCAATCCATTTTCTCTTTTTGCTTGAGTTGATCTCACATAGCAACAGAGGGGAGAAAAACATGAAGAATAGGAAAATAGAACCATATGTGCAGAAGGACCATGCTCTGACCAGGTGTAGCACCTGAAGCTATTCATGTGTTAGGTTACAAGCTGACAGTATCTCTTTAATGCAAAGATTTAATATCACAAATAAAATGCTGCATATACAGTTAATACCTACACAAAGCTAATTAAATTCCTTGATTCAAATGGTGGCCAGAGCATCCATAATGCATTACTGGGAATCTTTTGCCATGCACTCCTGGTGTGCAGAGGTAAAGTAACAGGATGTGTGTACTGATTAACTTTTCTACACCATTTTGAGGACTGGCATTATGCAGATCATCATTATTACTCAGTAATGATAAATTCAAGCAGGTGAGCTATGATTCTGGTTTGCTTTATCAATGGCAGTTTATCTGACATTCCTAAATCTACAATTTTATAGGAACAGAGCTAACTTTATCCAATCTAACTTTTTTCAAATAAGTTATGTACAAAGGTCATAGTAAAAAGGGATCGCTCCAGATGTTGACTAGCTCCCTGCTGCTTGTTCAGTATAAAGTTATAATATTTTCAAATCAAAACAACCTTACTTTTTCTGTTCAAAAGTTATAATATTTTCCAATCAAAACAACCTTACTTTTTCTGTTCAATACACAGCTATTAGCAGCAGGATGCATTATATGGATCATTAATTCCAAACTAATTATTACAGGAATTTTGTTTTGTAAAACATCTTGTATTAACATTTACAAATTGTTTTTCTATCATTAACCCATGCTTCCAATTTTTCCAGCTCAGAAATAGAAAGGCAATACAAGAGGAAAAAAACATACATTGAGAAAGGCTTTGAGAAACAGTCAACTTAGACTCGTCAAGAATTCATTCAAACATCCACTGATTTTCCTCGTCAGAAAGCAAGTCCACAGGATGAAGTCAAAAAATCTTGCTGAATCCCAGAGAACTCTGTTGGAAATTTTATCAATAATTATAACACTAGACAGCAACACCTCTCCCTCTGATATTGCAGGGCAAATATCACCCCCATTATTACTCCATGTAATAAGAGTGACTTCTTAATGCTGAACATGCAATTTCAATACATTAAAGGTCAGTACTGACAAGGTTGTACTTTGGGAAAAGTCTACATCTAAAGAACGGTGCAAGTGATAGGAGCTGCTTACTAATTTCAAATGCACAAGAGACCGAGGGAAAACTGAGCTTGGACACAGGAGGATAAACAAGACTATAGGAAAAGCAAACCCCCTTTTGAAGTGGCTTTTCCTCCTCTCCCCCCCCCACCACTTATTGCTAATTTCAACAGTTATAATTAATTTTGGTACAGTTTGTTTGTTTGAATTACAAAGGCTCCTTTTCCCCTGTTAATTTAGTATTCGTATTAGGCTATTTTAACATTCACAATAAAAATAACCCATGCTCACGTAAAAGAACCTATTTGTAGCTTCCAGAAGCTAAAGTAAAATATGTCAGTGTCCAACTGCCAGGAATTTGGTTCTCTTTCATGTTTACCATCTTTTCAACTGTGAATTTTGTGCTCATGAAAACTGCCAGAGTGGCAGCCCTGCCAGCACAATGCTCCAGTCACACAACGGTCAGCAGCAGCGGCAACCGTCTCCTGCTTTCATGCCTCAATCCATCCTGAGGGATGCTCTCATTTTTCCTGAGCGTTCAATAACCGGGCCACTCCGGTCACTCCACCAACAAAATGACCAACTAGGTAGCCGTGATTGTATCTAACACTTGTATACTGGGAGCTGAACCCAAATCACCAAACTACTAGTTTATGGCAATAACTTTTGATCGCTACTGAGGAGAGGTGGATTCCAATGACCAGGGATGAAAAGACTCTTTTCCTATTACCTAGCCATTTTCCCCGCAGATTTCTTTCACAAGAAAAGTTTGAAAAACTAAATTAAAGGTGACTGAATACCAAACACATGCAGTTTATTTCCCATAGTGTTTTCACTATTCCTGTCAGCCTGCCTGTTCACCCAGACACTGATCAGCAAGCGAAGAAGTTCTGCATCTAGAATATCAATTTCACCATAGTTTAGAACCTAGTAACACGTACAGCGAACAAAGGCAACGCGTTCTCAGCTTTGAGTATTAATCCAGTCCTCAAATACAACTGACAAATGATGTGCAAATATTTATAATACATAACAGATAAGTAAAGGAAGTACAAGAGAACAGTGATTCTAAACCTTTTTTATATACCACAGACAAGCAAACCCATTCACAAACTTTTGGCAGACCGGTAACGTTATATTTGCATATTCATTATGGTAATAAATTTTAAGAGATCAACATGTTATTTTACATTGCATCTGTATGCACGCAATGCATGTGGTTGTAATGGATCGGAGTTTGCAGACATCTACAAAACTAAAAAAAATTCACAAACTCCCATAGGTGACTGGTGCCTGCAGAGGGAGGAGTGCAGGGAGGGACACCCACAGAGGCAGGGAGCATGTGGGGCATCCTATTTAACAATTTAAATTTTGTCAGAGGTATAGAAGCTGGTGCTCCCAAGTGCTACCTCTCTGCCCTCCCCCCTCCTGCCCCATGGGATGGGGGAGCTGCCACTGTATCTCCCCCATCTCTTTCTGTACAACCCCTTCCCTGTCTCTCTTCCTTCCCCAGCCAAGCTGCTCTTGCTCCCACAGTCTTCCCCCAGTCTCCCCTCCCATGAGCCCCCTCAGAGTTTCCCTCCATTGCACCCCTGCTCCATAAGTCTTCCCTAAATCCCCCCAACCTCTCTTTAGCACCTCCTGCATCCCCCTCAAACCCCCACCTCACACATCCCTGCTCCCCCTTATTCCCCCCGCCCCTCTTCCGACTTACCCAGGGCTGGCTTCCCCCCCCCCACGCACACCC